TAAAGGCAAAACGCAGCACTGCACCAGCTGCTAGGAAGAAAATCAACTCTATCCCAGCCAAACCCAGGACAGTCTGTTTTTCTCCTTATAAAATGGTACATAATGCTTCTTGGTCAGGATACTTCACAAACACAAAAGCCACTCCTAGTAAGGCCACTGTTTCTGCTTCTAAATTCCCTTAACACTCATTCTGACAAAGCACATCATTCTTCTCCCAGCTTTCCTGGCACTGACAATTGCCCAATACAATGTGAATTTCATTAGGCACAGGAATCGAAAGAAAAATCTTAACACTGCAACAGACATTAAAATTAAGGCTCTTGATGGAGATGTTCATGTCTGTAATGTTTCAATAACCTGAAAATCACATTAACTTTACCCTAGAGATGTCTAAAGAATTAATTCAAAATAAACTGACAAATTTCTTCACTTTTTCCCCCAAATTATTTGCAAAGCAATTTTAATGATTTTGATAAATATCTGCTGAACACTTACGAATTGCCCCCTTCCCTGGCTTTTACAGTTTGGACTAATAACTATACACTGTACTTTTTTACTGGAATATAAATGCCTTCAGTGATAGCCATTTTTAGCCATGTAGACTTTAGTTACAAATTAACAAATATCTGTGTATGAACAAGCATCATGCTAAGACTTTTGATTGAAGAAAAAAAATAGTTTTTAAAAAAATATATATGAATAACATTTTAAAATAAGCACTCATGAATAATATGAAGAGTTTTTAGAAGTTTACTGGAGTTTTTGTAACTGCTGTTTCCAGTACTTCACACACCGTGCTTAGAATACATTAGGCTTTCAGGTCAGAATCTCACAGAGTGTAAACGGCATAACTCTACTTGATGGCCTGACTACACTGCCTTCAGCAGAGATGCAATAATTCATATCAGATAGGGCTGTAGTCATTGGTTTCTGAGTGTCAGCTCTGCAGTCTATTGCAAGAACATGAAAGGATACGAACGGGTGTCCCTTCTCACCTGCATTTCTTTTCTAGTAATTCTCCCAATCTAGTCTTCTGACCCCAGTCCTCAATTTGAATTCCTCAAAATCTAACTGGTTTGTATTGACTTTCACATCCCTGGATGAGTTTTGTGGTTTAGCTGCTTATAAATTGAGAAATATATGAGCCAGAAGCTATTGAACAAGGGAATACAGAACTGCCCATTATCCCCTCAATCACAAGCACTTTTCAAGGTAAATCTGTACTTAATATATCAATTCACTGACTGATGGTACTTGTTTATTATACAATAGATATAAAGTCTGTAATAATGTGGTGCTTCATTTTCTGCAAAGAATCTTATGAATTATCACTCAAGAGTAGTTTTAATGCAAGTGACACACTGTCATCAGTCTGCCTTCAAGATTACAGGCCTGGTTAAACAGCAGACTTCAACAACAAACATCCAGGCTCAGGCGGTTCCCAGAATTAGTAAGAGAATGCAGTCAGGCCCGGGGCAGGTACTTACTGCAACTACAAGCAACAATCTTTTCCATGCAAAATGGGCCACTGCTGGAAATGGACCTTTAAGGCCTAAACATATGACTGAATTGTAGCTCTGTTTCAGTAAGCTCAAGAATTAAAACAGTACCTTTATCCTTTTATGCATGAGCCACTTAAAAAAACCAAGCAAAACCCCCACAACTTCACATGAACTTCATGTTATATACGGTTTTGCCACTACTATTCTTCTGTCTTCCCTTCTTTCCTTTATATTTATCTCCTCTTGCTTTCTCCCCTACTACCAATCCACCTCATCTCCCAGTTTTGCTGTTTCCCTCTGTCATTCCACTGAAGGGGGCTGCTTCCTCAACACTCCCAGCTGCCTCCAGTGTAGTCTCTGACAACAACTGAGGGCTCTTGAGCTTTGCCTTTGAGCTGTTCTCATGCAGTTAAAGCAACATGATTTCTACCACCACTGAACACTGTAGTAGGAACCCATTTTAGCTGTGTCAACTGTTTTACTACATTGCATTGACTATGTTAGCTTTTTTAATAGTTGCAGAAGTCAGTTTTGTTCAGCTGTTCTCAGAAGCAGCAGCACTGCACAGCAGAAGAGGCTTGATATGAGAGGATAAGACCTATGCTAAAAGCCCCTTCCAAACAGTTGACCATCAGCACACCAAAGGTATCAAACCCACCTTACGGCTTTGACTCAAACACATCTAATAGCTGCCCCGTAGCCATGGTGGCAATGAGAAGTAACAGCAGATGCTCAGGTGTGGTAGTGATGTTCCCGCTGATGAGTGTGGGGAGTTACGTCAACATACTGTATGTTGCTGCACAGATGGGAGTAGTAACAACAGCATTGATTTTGGACTTGTAGTGACTAAAGGCGTAAGTGAATGATGTGATGCTTTGGAAGCGATACACCCCAGCAGCAAAATCTGGGGAGGATGAGCAGCTTTGAAAGTTATGCTCTTTGAACTGAATTTAATTATGAAGCTACACACGATGTTCCCGATACTGTCTGCAAAAAACGGAGCATGGATTTTTAATGTCCAGGTTGCAGTTCCCTTTCTGTTCACTTCAGTGGTTTCTTTCTTGCATCAAACATGCTAAAAGGAAACAGTAGCCATATGTACACTTCTATTACTTGATGTCAAATGCCTCATCTAAGCCATTTCCCATGCAAAAAGATGAAAATCCAATACCATCTGAAAGAGGTTATAACGTGAGAAATAAAGGAAGTTACCTGATTAAGAAGAGAGGCTACAGCAGTAACTAAAACCAGTAACTTAAACTGCATATGAGGGAATGGTTCCTGGCCGCCAGATATATTAATGTACATCTAGGTCCAATTGTGCACAGCCCTCCATGGTGGCAGCCCTAAAACCATAAATGGTATAGCTACAACAGTAAAAATTTGCACCAGAGCTAAGAGCGGCATTACCAAAATCCTCAGTCGACCCTTTGACGTGCAGTCCTGGACCAGGGGACTCACCTTTTTAACTGACCTGTTTTGATAAAGATGGCCAAGTAGGCAAAAGAACCCCCTATACATAGCATTTCACCACTACTAGAATAGAATTAGCATCTCTCCAATATCTTTTGTGGTTACTGGCAAGTTCATTAAGATTCAAAAGAATACTTATTCAAATATTTCCAGTATGCTAGAGGAAATGTAAATGGCTGTAGCTCTATTTAAGCAAGAGATGCCGTAGGTGCAGTGGAAATGCCAAATAGTGTTTGTTAGTGCTTTTGCTGTTAATACAATAATCCTTTACGTAGAGAAAGTCTACTCCTCTTTTAAAGAAAGTCCTCACTCATTCTCTTGCTCATATATTAGGACTTTGGGGGGTTTGTTTTTAACACCATTAGTTACAAAATTAAATACATAGTAATGGGAAGGAGACACAGACATTGCAATTATGAAAGGAGCAGAATCTTGTCAAGGAAAGTTTCCTTTTTTTCCCTCTGTTGTTTATTTGCTATGTCATTTATACAGAACTTCAGCTGACATTCAAAGGTAGTTCTTTATCTGGTGCATACTGAACTGTGCTAATTGAAGTGACTTTTTGTTGTTGCTGTTGTTGTTGTTTGTCTCAACTATAATTAAAATTTCTAATTGGAATTTACACCCATGCCTGCAGTGCATTGTTATCACAGATGAGATGCTAGAAGAGAGCTACAGTGCCTTCCCAGAAGATGAAGAATAATGGCTCTGGCTCACGGGCCAGTTCCTTAGCAAAGAATGAGGACTAACTTAAAAACCTCCTGGAGGCAACTAGTGGTTACCACATAATTATGTGACAAATAAACCACAGCCCATGCAGTAAGCAAGTCTGATGGATGGGATTTTCAGATATTTTGTCTTCATCATTCATAATTTACTCAAGCACCATGACACTAGTGATCAATATTAAAGGCCAACACAGAACACAGTTGCAGCATGTGTAACTTGGCAAGAAGTACAGAGTTCTATCTGTATTTCACCAAACCCAGCTCACTAGGAGATCCAGGTAGAGAAGACAAGACTACCTTGTTGCTCTGTGCTTGTTTCTGAGATATTAGGATTCATTTGCTGTATAGTCAGATCATGTAACTGACAATTCCATGGGCAAAACCACATTCCATAACTTAGATGGAGCATAATAGGGTCCTTTTGAGAAAGCAAATACAAAATGTAGTCAGAGAAAAAAATAGTGATTCACACGGGATGGATTTTTCAGTTTCTCCAATCACTCCCACAAATACATCCATTTCCTTTATGTCATTTTTGCTTATGTTACTTTTCAGAGTTAGATAATCTGCACATCTGTCTTTGACAAGCATGTTCTAGACCACGTAACATTATTTTTACTGTCAAGATTTGCCTAGAAACACTTTTACCAATGGCCATATACTCAGTCGGTCAGGAAGGCAAAATATCTTAACCCTTTTGTTTGCCAAGTTAAGAAATCCTGCTGTTGTGTAAGAAAACAGAAAGGTTTTGGTCATTTGAGTCTGGCACATACTAGAGTAACAGGACAAGAGCAGAGAAAGAAAAAAATAAGGAGCTTTAGAAGAAGGCTTCCACAAAAACAGGGTTTGGAATTTAACACAGCTGTATGGTGTGAAGAACGTGGCTGTACATTGTAGATTTATGAAGAAGACAGTAAATCAAGTAAATAAGATGTTGCTTCAGATAATATAAACTGTGAGTGTACATTAGATGTGTATGTAAAATGTTTTAAAACTCGTTGATTCGTACAACACACAGTTAAAGATCAGAAATGAAAGCTTTTACCAACAAGTCTGGGTCAGTGCTGACTCTTGTGTTCCTTAAATTCTTTCAAAATGAATAAACAAACTTCACTGTCAAAGTGTTAAATACCAGTGATTCCCATTTATGGCAGAAATAATGTTCTAACTTTCTATGAAAGACCTACTGAAGAGCTTACGCAGGTACTGCTGCAGGAAAACAATGACAGGTACAAGATGGTTCCTCCTACATACTCTAAGAGTGGCAGCAATATCAGAGATCATTAGAGAAACTAACCTGTGGTGTCATTCCATGGCAGATATACATGATTGGGATATTCTCTGTGTCTGGCCCTTGATCAAGGCACAAATCACTTTTCAGGGAATTCTGCAGCTAAAATAAACAGAAAGAAAAAGAAATCAAGCAAGTCTTACATAAGAAAACGATGATATGATTACTTTCTTTTTCTTTGCAAAAAAAAGTGTATGTAGTTGAGCAAGGAAATATGCAAAATTAAAAATACCTGTTGCAGTGAAGATACTGAAGAGAAAGCACTTGGACTAAATTCTTCCCTGTAGATAATCTAACACTTCAGATTTCAACTATGTTGCACATGGTTTCATGGAGGGTAAATTTCAAAAAGCCTTCAGAGATAACAATAATTTTTGATACACATTTTTTACAATATTAAGTCTAACATGTCTCTGGCACACACTATAGACAAAGGACAACTATTTTTTTTACCAGTGCAGCTAGCTGAGCAGTATGGATGGAGCTGCAAACACAGGGGAAAGCCCTACAATTAACAGCTTTTCAGAATCCCTCGGCAGAGTCTTCTTTTAGAAAAATCCTTTCTGCTGACACTTGGAGACTTGTGGCCAATTGGTATGCACTAGCTCTTCTTTGCATTATTCCAGGCTAGCCCACGCACAGCAGTCTAGCGATGAACAGACTGCAAAGTACTTGGCCCTGGTCGTCACAAAGCCCCATATATTACCTGTGCAATGCTGAGACAGAATATTCTCAAAGTGAAGCGCTAAATTAATGAGCACAGATAGCTGAAAGGTCTTTTTAGAGTGTGAGGCCAAATATGTGGATTGCATACCCACGGGCATGCATAAAGGCGCTCAGTGGTGTAAGATAACTTCAGAGAACATGAGAGAATTGTCTGATGGAGGGAGGGAGGAGGTGATGTGGTTTGCAACCATCTGTAATTAACGGAGCAGACCTGTCAGCTGTGAACAGGGTACCCCTTTGAGGAAAACAAGTTGATATGTCTAGAAGTGCACTAATATGTAAGAAGCATGGACAAGCCCGAGATTGAAGCCAGGCAGTGAATAAAATGAAAACCATGAAGTAAGATTTCCAACTCCAAACTTAACTTTAAATTCAACAATAAGACAGGACAAATCCCAACATTAAAGAGGTATCGATGCATTCTTAGCTGCTAGCATCAAGAATTAAAGAAAGTTGCCTTTCTCAAAGCTTTGTATTTCTTAGCCATAACCATAACCATTAATCTAATCATAATCAGGTGTTAGGCACCACTCTATCCAAACCAGTGATAAATATCAGCTTTAATAATTCATACCTGGATCCATCACTACCTTTGACTTTTCAAAACCTCTTCCACAAACTCAAGTTCTAATGCTTGTCTTAGCCCTAATGGAATAACCTTTTCCACAACAATTCCCATAATAAAGGAAACAAAAAAAATCTGCCTTGACCAGCATCGGCAAGCAACTTAGCTGAGAGGGCTGACCCAGCAGTGTAACAGGTACAGAGACTTCAGAGTTCATGCTCTGAAAAGCAGCACAACCTTAACCCTAACAGCAGCTGCCCGGTGATCAGGCGCTACAGAAAATGACAAAATGCTATATCCCTATTAATACCAGTCCTCTTCTTATGAGCCTTGACGACAGAAAAATTAAAACACACTCTTCAATTTCTCAAACTTTTATCCCAATCACAACTCTGCGATTAGCTTTGAATATCTGTAGAGAATTAATCCTTACAAAAACAGAGAAACAAAAAAGACAATGGCCTGATAAGTAATAATGGTGTCTAAAAATCTGAGGCCCAGACTTTTAGGAACTATCCCTTTCCAAAATCTAGTGGCTTTGTGGCAACCAACAATTAACTTGGGTAATGCAGTCTTAGACTTCCAAGACTTAATCTTAATTACAACTCAAAATATAATACGGTTCCCAATCCACATGCTGAAAACTTAGAAATAATTAGAAATAATCTCACCACTGAAAAATTAGAAATAATTAGTCAATACTGGCATTTGCTCCCTTTCAAACTGAGAGTCTTACAGAACACAAAGATAAACTACACTGCAGAAATTTATCAACTTGCAAAATGATTTCAAATGTCAAGCTGACATCAGGGAGCCAGTCCTTACACTAAATACATCAGCTTTTGGCCCGCTGACCCCACTTTCTCCTAACTCTACGGGTACTGCAGACTTCAGAAAGAAATCAGGTTCCCAAACCTTTCTGCTGCCAACAACCCCAACCTAGCTGTATGTCACAGATAAATTAAGGCATCAATGATACAACTATTTTCCTAACTTTCACAAAACAGGAGGAAATTTAGGATTCAGGAATATGCGTGGTGATACTGTAGATGCCTATATCCTAACCCTTACCCATATTCAGATAATTTTTGTAATTACTCAGTAGTTTTTAAAATTAATGACAATGCTACAGTAGCAATATCTCTGTTTTCTACATAAAGTGAAGTCAGTTGATGAACGGAAGTACTTAGAGAATCAGCAAGCAGCTGGCTTGATTTGAAACATCACACCTTTCTCCATTATAAGACACGCAAACGAACAGGAAAGCAGACTGAAGGAAAATTAGAGATGCAAGCACTTTACTAAGAAGATTAGGGCACCTGATCTTTTTGATTCATAAATCAGTTTTTCATATAACAGTAAGCTGTATTCATAAAACACTCCCCCTTTACCTGTACAGATACATTGCCATAGATGTCCACTACTACTTTTGTGATAGTACAAGTACTGAAATAAGGCCTACTCCTCACATCTTGCTTAGCTGATGAGGCTACTCTCATCCTGCAGACAAAATACTGCACCATGTGCATTAAGTACATAAATATGCATGTTCTGCTGACAAGCAAGTTCAGTATTTCTGTAACAAACTCTTTGCTTCTTTTCGGTTTGTACACTGCCAGCAAGGAACCTTCAAAGGCTGATGAAAAAGTCTCAGCGGAATACAAAATCACAGGGTGCCTGTTCTCTGATTTTCCTTTTGACTTACGTAATGCAGAGTTAATCCTGAGCCTACACAATGAGTACCTTAACTATTCTGCTGGTCTTCCTTTTTTATCTAATCTAGTATATCTTCTACCTGCAATCAACCATTTTTTAGCTAGAAGTACCTACAAGCAGAACCATGCATCTATTAGCTGCTATACTTCTTCTCCTCAGTAAACTCCACATCTGATTAGATCGTGGCATCACTGAGAGAAATTCCACACAGTCTATGGAAGAGCTTCCTTACACACAGGTGTGATTTGGGCATTGTTCTTAACTATTATGGAACGTAACCATTATTTCATGCATTTAACAATTAATGCACAGGAATCAGTTTTTGTGAATATGACACTGCTTTTAGAATGTCAAAAAGACATCCTAGCTCTACCAGCTTATTATGGGACCACAGTAACTTCCTGTGCTCATCTTCTGTATCATGCATGCTTGCACTCTTGGTTTAGATCACTGTTTCTGTAGGGACAAGAATTATCTCTGCTTTAATTACCATAGTACAACTCAAGCATGATTTCAACATAGACAAGGGTACTACTGTCACACTAGTAATGATGATGATGATCCCACAATACAGGCATTTTAGCAGTAGTTTCTGTTGAATGCAACATAATTCTTGAACCTCTCTGGCATTGCTTTATGCATGTGTTAGCTATGTGAGATTTCTTCAGCTCTGATTAGCTTGGAATGTTAGTGTTTAATGCTTTCTTGTAGCACATGTCTATGCTGATACCTGTTCTAGGGTAGATCAGGTTTGCTGCTAAATGGCTGAAAGTTTAATAAGGGAAGACATCAACCTTTAATGGTTGGACTCAATGATCTTAAAGGTATTTTCCAACCTAAATGATTCTGTGATTCTAAGTTAAGATCTGGCTACAATATTAAGAAGCTTGCAGTTGAAATAGTGAGCCTATTTTGTTAATTCACCTGCTGCCACAAACCTTCCAATTGACAGCTCCAGTAAGTCTAAAGTAGAATGCCTTGAGTATCTCTGAGTAGAATGCAAGCCATGAAAGAAAGACACAAACAAAAGATCATGGCGGAAGATAACATTCAGAATACCTCAGCATAAACTACAACGAAGCAGCTGTCTCTGTCGGCTAACCAGTCTACTAAATTATTTAACTAGGGACTTCAGGTTTATCTGATTCTTCTACTAGAGCCAGGCACTGTCTTCAAGAATTACTTCCACTATTGCACCTTGGTCCCCCACCTGTTGGAATGGGAAATGCAAAAAGGTTCTTACCACCCCATAGGCGACAGTATCTGAATACATTCTCATTTCTGGATACACGCTGACAAGGTACCACCTAAACGTCTTGCACTGGAGTTTTTTCCTCAAGGCCTTCCTCTCAGAAATATCACCAATATCAATTCCGGAGTCCTGCATATAAAACAAAGGACAGACAAGCAGAAACGACATCAGTGATACACTTCTGTGTGAACTCATCATCCAGTCTCCCTCATTGCAAAGATGATTATGACCTACAATAATTATCAGCTTTTGGCTACAAAGTGAGTTTGTTACCCACACATGCTCCAGAAGTGCCCCAATTAAATATAATACAGGTCACCACAGGTCTCTTTCAAAGTCCGCTTTGGTCAATGGAACCACTTCTTCAGTGGGGCTTAGATCTAGCTTCCAATGAGTATCACTGTTGTTCTCCAATTTCCTGGCACTCTCCAAATCCAGAAGTAATTGGCAGGAAGTAGCAAGTTGCCTTAGAAACAACCTTATCGCTGGCATCCCACTGTGGCCTAGTCATTAGTGTATGACACTTTCTGGCCATTTCTGAAGTCTGGTTTAATGCTTCACTGCAAAGAGCAGAAGCTCCGTTCCCCTTTCTGAAAAAACACTTACGAAATTTCTCTTGTAATGTAAAAAAAGAAGTTGCTATTTTTGTTAAAAGCAGTTGCAGAATATTCTCTCCCCTAATTTTTGTTCTCCTTTACCTTTCTGGCTAACCCAATTTCTACTTATCATAAGAGCAGCTCATAAAGAAAGGGTTTCATAAAGTCTCTGTATATAAAAATCAGTAATTTATCACATTAAAATCATGCAGTGGAAATTTTTAGAGACAGATCTAAGTGCAAATCCATGGCTACTATTTAACAGGAAGTAAAATGAGACATTTTGCTCCATAATCTGCTCTACCACTTCTGCCTCAGAACAAAACATAGGATAAATACATTTTCTTAGGGAAATCCTATCTACTTAAACAACACCCTTTACTGGGCCATAAACACCCCAAAGAGTTTGTCAGCGTCAGATATGATTTAAAATTAACATTGGAAGCATTGAATTTTCTTAATTACAAAAAGGTATCTTTATAAATACCTAGGTTTCTGAGCTGTTGAAGCACCAACTGCTTCTTACATCCCAAACCAGTGAATTAATGTTAATCTGAAACAAACGTATTTTATTATGGGAGCATTTTCTAGCTAAAGTAAAATTGACTTCCACGGTAGCAAAGTATACTAAAAAGTAGGAAAGTGAGGTCTAGCATAAACAATCATAACTCAAGTTAATCCTTCAAAGTGATGACTCCCCTCAAGCCCTAAATCATTCATAAAACTTAGTAATCACCTCCTCCCGTGCAGCTGGAGAAAGAAAATAACTCACATGTAGCACCCTGGCTTTATCACCAGCAACAACTCAGCATGTTTCCCAAAGCTAAGAATATGATGGGAGGAAAAAAAAGGGAAAAAAAGAACACCAAAACCATAGGGGAGGACACATGGAGAGCACAGCTTTTGCTTCTGGGGCTTAAAAAAAAAATCTCTCCTTTGGGTTTTAAGTGCTTTTCTGAATCTCTTTATCAAAGTAGTTGCGATGCAGAAATCACCATGGTATCAGAGATCCCCATTTGAAGCCCTCAGTACTTCAGAGCCACCCACGTTCATCCTAGGAGGGCAGTCACAGCACACTGCCAAATGATTCTGACTCCTTTTTTATTATTATTACTAGTTCTCAAAGACTAAAACCTTTGGAAACATCTGACTCAGGGCTTCTCGGTGATCTGGGAATTCTTCCATGGAAAAAACAGGTCCTGTGGTTAACATTTTGGAATAACATATTTCATGGAAAGTCCTGACTGTTGTAACTGAATTCATTACCTACACAGTCCATCACTTCATCAGCTTCTAGACAGAGAATTACCCCCGTAGTTATCCACTTGTGTAACAGTATTTGGCCATGCTGTCTGTCTGTCCTCTCAGCATGGCTCTCACGCTGATGTCTCAAACATCTGTTTGCCTAAGCTGGAACTAGGTTTGATTTTAAAATTGTTCCTCTCTGGCATTTCACCTTTAGCTTACTTTGGAGGTAAGCAATGATGAAACGGACATATTGCCATCCAGTCTGATATCTAAATTTGATCTTGCCCCTCCCTAACCTTTCTCATCCATCATCTCTTTTGCCCCCTTCCTACTGGAAGGCTGTATTACAAATGCCCCACAAGCTTTAAGTGATTTTTTTAGGTTGCTTTACTCTGAATACTCCTGCTTTTTACTGATGTTTCTATACCAGGGACTGCATTGCTCCTAACCTTTTGATGTATAAAAGAGGGCTCCCGCTAGCAATGTAGGTTTTCTTTATACTGACTGATTCAATTAAAGTGCTTGGGAGCATAATTTTTTGATGTATTTTCCTCTTTCCCTTAAAGGCCAGAAGCTTTCCTTAAACATGTACTTGTTTAATCTGTGAAAACTAAACTGCTTCCCAGTATATTTTTAAATAAGTATGTGGACATGTGTGTGTTTATTTGGTTCTCTGCAGCTTCGAGAAATACAAATGAAGGTTCTATGTGCTACAGATTCCATACATACACATAGTAATAAATATCTCCCTACAACAGAGGCATCTCATTACATTGCAGAAGAGGCTACCACCATTAAAAAGCTGATTTAGCACTTGCCATTTCCAGCTTTTAAGTCTGCACTATGGTTTGACAGCAGTAGCCTTTGTGAAGATGAAGGGAGAATATAATCTGCACTGTAATTTATTCAAGCAGTTCAGTGCAATGATTAGTACATTTGTGGTGACTCCATGACTGGAGACTGAACTAGTAAGAAAACTTATTATTCCTCTTCAAAACTATGAACAAAATCAGATTTGGAGATACAAGATCTACCCTGCTGTTTGCAAAACAACTTGATGCGCTTTGTGACCTGAAGAAATAATTAATTTTTCTTTTGTTTAATAAATGAGTTCCAAATTTATTATAACAGGCTTTTTTTATTCTGATCTATCAGCACAGTCTAGATGGTGTTATTACTACTTGCTAAATTTTTATTTAACAGGGAATAACAGTAAATTATCTTTGCATTCTTTATGAATTTGAATTCCAAACTACATTGAGATCTCAACTTCACACAAGGTTAAGCAACACCATCTCCATATCTGGATGAATATTATGGAAATACGTGTATGATACTGTATATCCTGGTTAGCAAAAGGAATTCCTAAGTTTTGTGTTGATGCTATGCTTGCAAGTGAAAAAATTGAAATTTGAGCAATCAATGAAGATCAATCTTCAAGAAAATAACAAATAAAAGAAACTGAAATTTAAACCTATCAACTTGGCTCTGATAAAGGTGAAAGCTCTTAACGGTTCATAGAGTAAATAAACACTGACTACAGAAATGAAGAACAACTGAAACCAGATATCAAACCGAACTCCCAGGTGGGCCATCCTACAGTATCTCTTCAATACAGGGGACCAATCATTGCTTATCTATGGAAAAGAAGGCCAAAAGGGAGTTGTAGCTACATTCTGCAATAGGGCATGAAATCCACCAGCCATCCCTACTCTGATGTGAAATTACTGAAGAGTAACACACACAATTTAACTGATAGATGCTAACACCCCCTACCCCTTGGTAGAACTCCTCTGACAAATCTGGTGGAATTACAGCTCTTTGTGATGGTAAGTAACATGCTCAGATTCAAAACAAGATGTGTAATGTAGACTTGATGGTTCTTTTTTCCACATTTCTGCAGCTAGTAGGTTAAGATCTCCATGAAGAGTTATCAGTGAGGATGATGAACAAGACAATAGATTAATTTTTAAGGAACCTAAAGCCAAAGAAATTGTTCTAGAATAAGACAGAACTATATACATATTTTTATGCCTGTATGTAAGACATAAATACATACATGTGTGTATACAAATAACCCAAGCAGAAAAATAAAGTCAGTGTAGAAGCCAAACCCAAAAGCATCTAAAGCCAAAGCTTGCAAACACAAGTCTTTGTGACTCACCTCCTGGGGTATGTTCCATGCCATATAGACATGGCTCTTAAATTCATCCATCCAGACTTCAGCTACCCTTAGTGCATTTCTCCGGACATGAGCAGTTAGATCTTCTGTGTATGGTTTATGTGCTCTTTCAATGTGGGCAATCCTGGAGCAAGGCAGAACCTCAACACTTCCTCCACATTGCCATACCTAGGAGGAAAAAAGAGACTCAGCTTATGAGAGCTCCCTGCATCACTGCTGTCCTTTAGTAAATACACTGAAATTATTTTATTTCTATGCTTGACATTTTTATAAAGAAGAATGACTACTCAAGACTTATTTGACTATACACAGGGGTTTTTTAGACAGTTGTGAAAGGCGAGTGTTATTACCTGGCCTTACTATGAACTATTACTACTACTTAACCTTACTACAGAATTATTACATTACCAGTAGCCTCTCATCACAATCTTCTCAGATCAGTTCAGCTATTCTCAAGATTATTAATAAAATCATTTATAAGGCATCCAAAACCATGGTGTTTGGGTTCAAGTTTTAATGCCTTGCAGGCATTTCCCTGAGACTGTGCACAGTCCATCTCCAGGCATACATGCACTATTCAGAATCTGGAACTAGGAAGCCTTATGTAGAAGGGAAACTAAGACAATCAACTTTTAAGATCACTGATCTTTCAGGTTTTAGGAAAACTAGGAATATAAATCAATCTTCTGCTTTGCTTTAATCATAGCTCAGAAAAGACCACGTTTATTTCTTTTGAGAAGGAGTGACGAAAACTAAGACTGCCTAGTGAAATTGTTCTATGAATAATTTCAACACATACTACTCTTGTAAATTATAATACACTTATAATGTAGGTTAGTGTACCTGCTCAAGTGTTTTGGTTTTGCCTGGTACCACTAACGTGCATAATGTTAATCATAAGTATCGCTTTCGGTTCTGGTTTCCTCTCTATTTTCAACAGAAGAGAAAACCACTTTGGCAGCCTTAACAGTCAGTGAATTACTTTAATTATTTTACATAGAAGCTCTTTTTCTGTGTATCTTGTATTATGTAAACTTCCCAAGAAGATCGAGGCAGCCCACTCATAATGGTTGAGTGGACGCTGCTCAGGTGAAAACCGAGATGCACTCCAATTGTTTGATCCTGCT